CATCCCCTGCCAACCAATGCCCAGCCAGTCCCCAGCAGCAATTGCTGCTCCCAGGACAACTCCCCTAGTTTATAAACTGAGCATGATGTCATATGGAATGGAATATCCCTTTGGCCAGTTTGGGTCAGCTGTCTGGCTGTGTCCCCTCCCAGCTTCTTGTGCACCTCCAGCCTACTTGCTGGCAGACCATGAGAAGCTGAAAAGTCCTTGACTTAGTGTAAGCACTGCTCAGCAACAACTAAAACATCAGTGCGTTATCATCATCATTCTCACGCTAAATCCAAAACACAGCACTATACCAGCTACTAGAAAGAAAATTAATTCTATCCCAGCCAAAACCAGAACAATGTATTTTGATTACCTGAATTGTAAGAAAACCATTAAATATTTGCATATATCTGTAGAAAGGCAGTCTTCTAAAAGATGTGTCTGTCTTTCAGTGCTTTTATTTGTGCTTTAAGTCAGTTATGTACAGGAAGAGGAGTCAATACAGTTCACAGAAGCCTCTCTGCACAAAAGACAGTGAAAGCTTCCCAAACAGCTGCAGCAACACATTTCAGTCCTGGCCTAATGCAACTACAACTTGGTTGTAAACGTCAGCATCCATACCCCTTCCTGCACTGGGCTTTCCTGGGGTTTATACCTTTAGCCAAGGTATGTGAGCCATTGTTTTTTCCACTGGATTGCTCAGTTTAGAGTTTTTTTACATCTCTACCTGCTAAGCAAAACGGCTGCAAAAAATTCAGCTGAAAAACTCAAAACATTACAAACCCCATTAATTTTCTCACCTTCTCATGCCTTTTATATCTGTAGTTGAAATCACACACAGAGCAAGAACAACTGTTTGAAAATAATTACATACAACTGATTTTAACCAAACTAGGATCACAGGCCTGCATAATTTTAATTTATGTATCTTTTTATTTCCATTTTTGACTCCTTAGTCCTGAGTAAAAATCTTCACAGCTACAGTTACTGTCTTTTCAACCCCTGCCAGTACAGTGGTTTATCTGGTGGCACCTAAGGAGCTACTCACTGTATGTAACAGAGAGGTTAAAAAAACCCAAACAAGAAATAAGACAGTTTGTGACCTGATTTAGAAGGATTTCATGCTCCCTCTACAGACTGAGAGAAACCAGTGGAGAACTACGCCCTCAGAGTTCAGAGGTAAGTCCTAAGAAAAAACACAAAGAGCGGGCATAAGAATTTTACTCCTTCCTTCAGTCCATCACAGGACACCAGGCTTCCACACCCTTTACTAACCCAGCTACTTACTGTGGCACAGGCTAGTCCATGCTTTGCCTTGTCTTCTTGGAGAGAAAAAAGAGAAAGCGGAGCCCAGCTTAAGAGAAACCAACAACTGGTCTGGCGAGTTTTACCAGCATTTGAATCAGTCCTTATGACAACATGAGGAGTTGTTAAACTGCAGCTATATCAATGCGTGTTGAAATAGTGGCAGACGGCAAGCACAACTGCACGTTATCAACAGGCCCACTTTTCCTGTTACTAAAACTGCATACGTTTTAGGCCTACATTAATTGTTCAGGAACACCCAAGATAAGTAGCTACATTTCAAAGCCTGTTATTGCTCACTTAAAGTAAGGGAAACTATTATTTCTGGTTACTGCCAATTTAGAGGTGATGCTTCACAAGAGATGCAGGTGTGCTTTTTGCTTTGGAGTTTTAGGGTGGATTTTTCTTTGACATTTGAGCTCAGATTCCTAAATCTGCAGCTCAGAACCAGAATTATTGATGAATGCTGACTGCTGTCATCCTTTAAGCTGAAAATACTGTTCTCTCTAAGAAAGGCCATTACGTGAAGAAGTATTTGACAGAAACACTTGAAATGAGAATGCCCCAAAAATAAGTACATATAAGTGATACAGAAAACTAATGGAACATACATGGGGTGGAGGTGAGACTACTGTGGAAAGCATGTCACTGTTTTCCCTTTTGTTTCTCTCCTTTTGTGTGTGAGCATTAAAATCTCACCATAAGTTTTTGGCACAAAATATATATTAAATTAGCAAGTTTAGAAATTCTTGCAGTTTCCAGTAAGGAAGAACAAATGCAAGGAAAGTGTCCAAAGTCCACGCTGTAACAGTAAAAGTCTCTTCATTCCAAAAACGTGCTTCTGCTCAGCCCAAATGTTTCTGCTTTAAGGTTGTTCTTTATCTCCACTCTTCCAGCTGCTGGCTGGGATTTTTTCAAAACTGCAGGAACCTAGACAAGATACAAAACAGCCTGTGATTACATGAGAAGCTGCTCTATACGCAGCAGAAGGAAATCAAGCTTCAGAGAGGCCTGAACCCTGATTTTTCTCCTCTGATTTTCAGAACACTCTCTCTGGCTTCTCCCTCCCTAATCTCTTTCAGTACATTTCTCCAAACGAGAGTCAGTATGTGCTGGAGTTAAGTTTTGAGCAACACTTGAGGATAATCCAGTTAGTTGTAGCCATAGTCAACAATCCACAACAAACTACTTCTATCTGCCTCTTAGTGGCAAGGGAGGGGAGGGAAGAAGGGGAGTTTATCTGGGTCTCCCTTTCTTTCGTCACTTGTAGCAACCTAACTTTTGAATCCACCGCTACTTCCCTGCTATAAATGTTAGAGTGCAGAATAGAGGTAGACAATACAGTCCCACAAGCTTTGACAAGAAAGGGTAGTCAACAGGGAAAATGACCCAAACAAAATCTTGCTAATCTGAAGACTGTCTCCTTGGAAATCTTCATACAGCTTGGTACAATCGGGCTCTGTGATGCCATCAGCATCAATGGCAAAGACAGCTGGTGTGTATGTGAGGAGCCATTACAAACTTCGGACAGGGAGTCAGGACTTCACAACCATGGCATCATTCTCCAGAGAGATGTTGCAGCTAGTACCTGTCCTCATCCTTTTATCTTTACCTTCTCTTTCACAAGACAGGGACTACAGATCCAGAGTTAGTATGTGGGTGGGAGGAGGAGGGCAGCATCTGTTACATCCCTCACTATGAACAGACTGCTGCAGCAGCTGAGAAGGGAAATTAGGGCTGCTTCTACCATTAGCTTCAGCTTCCCCTGGGCTGCCAGGTGAAAGTAAATACAGCATGTCTCAAGGAACAGCCTGCAGCTTCCCTTCTGGCAACAGTGAGCAGTATCTTACTGCTCAAGTGTATCTTCGCCAGTGCTGGGGCTTCCCCCCTCATTCAATCCAGCTAGGGGGAACCTTCTCCTCTGTCAAGGAGCAGACACTGAGCTGAATTCCCCCATGCTCTGTGGCCCACCCCTCTACAACGGCTTATTTCCTGCTTTAGAAATGGACTGTACATGCAGAGTCTGAAGCAGAAACCCTAGCTAGCCATACGTACGTGAGGAGGTAGTGGAGGTTCTAGGTGCCGCCCAAGGAAAGAAAGCAAGCGTCGCCATATCAGACCGCTTCCCAGAAACATAATCCCCATCACCAGCCAAAATATTCTGGGGTCCTACCGACAGAATGTTCCCATTAGTCATGCAACACCCTCTTCAGAAAAGGGATTATCCAAAGATAACCTCTTACTCCCCACCAGTGTTCTCCTCCTTTATGGGAGGAAGCGGTAAACTCTCTACTATCAACAGCTGTTTCATAGCAAAGCATTTTATTTAGGAATCACCCTAGTGTATTCTGTTCCTGTCCCATGAAGTTTTCCTTCCTTCATTGGGAAGTTTGGAAATTCAACCCTTCTATTTAATGGATTTGGAAAGGAAGAAGTCTTTACTTTGCTTTGGGTTTTTTTGTTTTAAAGATAGCATGTGCAATTTTAAGTTTGTACCCTCCAGTCTAGGTATAAACATGTAACTGACAGTAGAGTATTTCCTCTGGTGTGCTGGAAATGCCCTGGCTGCTTGCCAGATACTTTGTATCTGGAAGACAAAGCTGGTCTTTTCAGAAGAATAGAGATCATTAAAGAAACCCAAATACTGCTTTATAGTCAGTTCTTATACAACCATAAATTTGTCTTCCCGTTTCTTTTCCATGGACATTACATAGAAAAAAGGCTGCAATACTGTGCAGTTAGCCATACAGTAATTTGCTTACAAAAAAGTGACTGCAAGAACACATGAATCACTGGACTAAATTATGTTCATACACTAATATAAATCTGGAGCTTTACCTATGGAAAGAATGAAGTTGCACTGTATATAAAATGCACTGTCAGAGTAGGGCCCATGTTTTATGTCACTGATAAAAGCAGCACTCGTTCCTTACCTCTTCAAGAGATGACTCCAAGTTCATACCAAATGCAACTCCTATGAGTCCAAAGAGAGAGAGAGAGAAAGTCCCCATAGTCAGCTGCAAGTTCAGCCTCATCATCACATTACGGTGGCTAAAGAAGGGAGAAACATCTGTAAGGGGAACCCAAAAATTGATTTGCTGCCTAAATTCTCAAATTCCATACAGCACGCACTAAAACCAAATAGTGAAAGAGAGGAAGTCATGCTGGAATTAGGCAACCCAGTGACAAAGCTCATGAAACAACAGGATGAAGAGGCTATCATTTTGAAATTACTGCATCAGGATACCTCTAAGGCAGCAGCAGGTTCTGCTTAATCATCAGCAGACTTTCCAGTATTGCTCACTTCTTAGAGGTGTATATACACAGAGTAACAGTAAATTTCCATGGAAATTTGTGTTCTCTCACCACTAACTGGCTGGAATTTTTATGTCCATATTCACAAGAAACAAAAATTTACTGTTACCTTGCAAATGAATATACTTACAAAGAAGTAGAGTTGGTAAATGCTGCAGACTATAAACTTCAGCCTGTTTTGGAGAATTCCATATTCAAGTCTTCCCCAAAAGGATTTTTGTGGTTTCCTGATGCAGCATCCACCAATTGCTTCTACAGATAACTCCCCAGTAAAGAGGAGAGAGAATATTAAACACTGACCACAAAGACAGAGTGGCATGTGCTTGCGAATGCAAGCTACAATTATTTTTCATCAAGAATGCTGACTAGTAGTGAAAACTGTAGCATACAGAGAAATACTCGCTCCAAAGTTATGCATTCTTGTATCACTCCATAGAGTGATAATGCAACTTGTACCGAACACCTGAGTAGCCTAGCCAGACTCTTCAATAATTCAGTTTTGCTGAATTAAGAGTAAACTTTCCTGAGTAGAATTTTATTTTACCCCTAAATTTGCAGACATTTCCTTTAGTGAATAGCTCCCCAGAAGGATCTAGAGAACCTTGGCTTCTCCAGCTAGGGAAAACTGATGCCTAGCTAGAGAGATTTATGCACATACTAATTAGGGAATCTTGATGCTTTGCTTTATCCAGTTCACTGATAAGAAAAGTGCAATGCAGCTTCTTGTAGGCAGATTTGAGACTAGGCAGCATTAAATTCTGCTCAGCTTTTGGCAGTCCAACAGATAGGGTAGCTAACCTGTCCAGGTTGATAAAGATTATGCTTTCTGAGTCGTCAATCAGTACTCTGAGTTCACGAGCTTCATTTGCAAGATCTTCTGCTTGTCTGTAATAGTTCTCCAGCAGCAGCTCCATTTCCTCTGCATGGTCAATCCCAGATGTACTCTCCTCACTGTGAGCAACAATTTGTATTTTTCTGGTTAGCTACATGTTGTATAGAAGTGTATTATTGATGTGTTAAGACAAGGCACATAACAGTTGTGGGGAACAGCCAACAAGAGTGCTGTTAGACACTAGATCTCAAAATCCAATCTTTTCAGTGAGGAACTTCCATCAATACCAACAGTTTAAAATAAAAGGCATATTTTTATATCTGATCAGCTGACGGATAGGCAGTCAATTATTTTGAGTAGAGCAGTTAGCATTCAATGTGCTCAAGGCACGCACAAGACCACAAATCTTACTTTTTCAGATATTAAAGAAAGTTATGAAAGTTTATATTACTATAAATGTTTATATTATTATTACATTATTATAAAGTGCTGACAATTTTGAAAGGAGATGCTTAATTACTTGGTGCCCTCAAGTGGTGGAAGCTGGTAACAGTGCAGTCCAAAACTCCAAGAATAAAACATAACCAAAAATGAACACACAAACAATTACACGGTGAGGGAGATGTTTTAGGTGTATATTAAAATAGTTTAGTTGAAAGGTGTTTCAGCTATACACAGTAATTTCTGCAAAACGTTTTGGGAGCATGAAGCAGCTGAATAGTGAGCATCAAATGGAAGATGCCGCTCTCCTAAGTGAAGTCTCTCTGAGAGACTTTCACCCTACTTCATGGTCCGACTGCTGATAACAGCAGCCTTCTCTGGAACAGGTATGTATGTTTCTGTTGGTGTACTCCATTGTTCGCTGTGTAGATGAAAGCTGCAGCACCCGAGATCCACAAAGGCTTGGAAACTAGCAGCAAAGCCAGGAAGATTCTCCATCATTTTTTCTTTTGTGGTATGACCTCATTTATCCAAAGAGACTAAACTTTTTAAAGAATCTCCTCCTGTCATTGCTGACTGTTAAAGGAACCTCTCTGAAATGGTTTTCCAAGAAAATAAGTGATATGTCTTAAGAATCAACCCACGTAAGCTCCCTGAGGACCTTTAACAGAGCCCCTAGCTTCTCTCTTATGGGGCAGAAACTTTGAGTTAGCTAGGCTGGTTTTAAAGCCCTTCGGTCCTTGAGGTTTCTACTGCATGCAGATGAGACGAGTTGCAGACTTGAAAGCCTTCGAGCACTATCTGCTGTATTACGGATTCAGCTCAAGGTCTTACTTGATGAGTATCTTTACAACGGCTCCTCTGTAGATACACAAAGGGAAACAACAGGCATACAGACTTGAAAACAACTGCCATCTGATTTGCTTTCATTAACTAGCCTCCATCGGTCTCATGAGTCTTTGACAGTCTGCCATCCCTTCACACAAGGATACGATGCCTGCCTCACCTTGTCCTTCTGGGCTCAGCTAACCATTCATCTGACAGCACCGATATGCCTAAATGGGTTCCTTCACACCTTCTCAGGCTTCTTGAGTTCACCAAATACCAGGCATCACCTGCATCAATCCTGAAGCCTAAAGAGCTGTCCACACAGTTGCCAGCCTGCCTCCAAACATGCTCTCGTGGCTAGTGTTTCCTGGTGTGCCTCGTGCATGGACTGCCTCACTGCATCCTGCAGCATGGCTCCAGCACGCTTTACACAAACTCCCACCACTTCTACCCTTGTGCAATGGTGTCTGAAAGAAGGGATGATGACAGGTTTCTCCTGACATGAGAGTGTAAGGTGACCTTGGTATCTTTCCTAGATGTTCTCTATACATTGTCTACCATGAGGCAAGAAGAGATTTGCCAGCAGCTTGTATTAAGTCCAAAGGAAGGCTGTGAGCAAAACCAGGACCAAGACCAGCTGCTGGCTCAGGAGCAGGCTGGAATTCAGAGCCCTCTGGATACTGCTCCAGCAGATGCATTAGAAATGCAAACCGCATCCCACTTCTGGAATACTGAGTTTCTGCTGCACATTTAGAGTAAGCTCTGCAGGGCAAGAAACTATCTCCTGATTTCAAACCCATGCTACTGTGTGAACAGTATCAATATCCACATGCAATGTGGTTAGGCAAAAGTATTATTCGGCAACTTCGCAAAGGACCCTGAAAGGTAGTTTCTGTTATCTGCTTAAACATAAAACATGTCTGTATGCCCAAGATTTAAATACAATGCAGCCCAAAACATATTGGGATCTGATATACATTATCTTTTTGCTTTTTAGTTTTTGTTAAAGCGACTGCTGCTGCTGCTGTGTGCCATCTTTCACCAGAATTTGAGAGAGTGCAATAGGGCTATTTCTGCACGTACATTTTTCCTGAAATGCTGCTCTTCAGGTGCACAAGATTGCTCCAGGGCCTCTTTCCTTCAGGTTCTGCTGGTGAGCAAAAAGCTAGAAGCAAGGTGTTCAGAACACTTCTAACAAAGGAAGTGTGATGTCTAACCTATTCAAGACAAGCCTTAAAACCTGCCTCTTCGTTTTTTTGGTGAAACTGAAGAAAATTCTCCCAGAAAGTGTTAATTTGCTTTTCCTCCTCCTGCCGTCCTGCTCCCATCCCATTACATACTAGATGAGCTGGCCTGTTACACCAAGAACTATACTATTTGAAACTGCACAATACGACTAGTGCTAATGGAGTCCCTCTCCAAAATGGCAAATACAATGATTTCTGAAGCACGAGGACTTTAAAAAATTAGAAAGTCTTTTCCTTTCTGCTTTTTGGCAGGGAACACCCAGTTTAGCGTTCAAGTTCTCCTTAAACAAAACACACTGTTAAAAAAAGTATGTGGTTTTAAAATATACATACAATACTTGTGGATCAGTCCATTTAGACAGACAGAGCTCTTCTATCAATTCTTCTTCATCTAAGATCTCCAGAATTGTTTCTTTGAAAACTTTAAGATCTGTTTCCAGTTCTGACAAGCTGAAGAAAGAACAGGCAAAAGGTCAAGTAATCCCCACTGGCTCCAGTGCACAAAGGTAATCTCTAAGTGAGTTTGCCAGCCAGCACCCTCACTAGACAGAGTGGCCAGGGAAGACTTGTAAGGGTTCTAAGAGCTCCTTCAAAAAATTCTCTACAGGCCACACACTTAGCAGTGGCAGTGATCTGTCTGGGGACCAGCGAGCTACAGACACATACTAAAAGGGATTCAGATGCGTCTTCTACATATATTCGTAGGTCAGAAAAAACAAACACTCCGTGAGCATGTAGCGAGTGCATATTCGCACTGTCATACCAGAGCGGCTAATACATGAAGGTACCAGGATATTAGTACTGGTAACCTTAAAGCATAGATCCAAAGGCTAATCTTGTTTTACGTTCTGGGGAACATTTTCATGATGTTATTTTGTTCTCTTAGGTATTATTTTGTTCTGTCAGATGCTATTTAAGAAGCTCGACTGTATTTCTGACAACTCGGAATAGACTTCCCTTTTTCTGTTTTTCCCCGTATCATGAGGTATTTCGTTTACCGATTTTTACATTTACAAATAAGATGCACAATCCAGCATTACAGTAACCTGGGAAATTAGTATTAGATACCATTTTTCTAACATTTCATTGCACATAATTTTCTATGGTCATCTTCTAGTCTCTTCACAGCTTACTCTTATTTACCTCTTGCCATTTTGCAGGAGAATGTGTAGTTTACTCCTATCCACAGACAAAAGCTTGGGGTCCACTAGAGCTTCCAGTGTCTCAAGGATCTGAGGCTGCAAAGTGTTAAGTCTCCCCTGCAGTTTGCTGATCTAGATAACAACATGATCCTTCATAAGAATTAAAGCAATCCCTTTAGAATGACTTGGGCAACTGACTCCTGTCTCTGAACACAGAATTCACAGTAATAGGCAGTTAACACAATCTGCTTTCCAATGCCCAGAAAATACTTGCTATAGGGATACTACTTACAAGATAAAGCCAGCGCAAAATACAGTATTTTATACAGGTGATTTGCACTGAGCTGAAACCCAGTGACAACCACGCCAATAAGGCTGATAAAGCTAAAGCACTATTTGTTAGAAATGTCATATTAGCATTAGCAAGCATAGATTTTTAAGGATAACTAGAAATCATTATCATCTGACTCCTGCCCAAGAGGCCAAAAACCTCAGCACTTTTGTATGACTTCCATTGCAGCTACAGCATGTCTCTAGAAAGGTACTCCGATTTGTTTTTTAATTGTCCAAATGATGGTGAAGCCATCGCATCCAATTAGCACTTTCTTGGGAAGGGAATGGAAACACACATACACACAAAACCATAAAAACTAAAGCAACAAAAGCCAAAACCAAAAAAGAGCTCCTACAGTAAGTGCGGAATACATATACAAATGTGTATGTATAAATATTAACACAAGAATAAAATCATACTGTCCTTTCTATGAAGCAATGACTTCCAAAACAATTTCAATAAAAATGAAATAGCTCACCCGGTACTGCAGGATTGCTTCTATGGCTCGGAATTCAAAGGGCAGGGAATATGTAACTAGTTGACCTTCCCCAGCCAGCTGAGACGCTAGTTCATTGAAGAGCCAGTGTTCCAGATTTAAATTACGATAATCTAATATCAGAAGAAACTCCGGTGTTATGACAGCCTTCAAGAACTGAAAAAGACAGAACATGTAGGAGTCTGGAAAAAAAAAATTCTCTGAAGATTTCTCATAACTCTGTAGTGCATTTGATAATTTAGGCTTTGATAAAGCCACTCTTCAAATGTCTTTTCAGGCAGGAAAATAACAGAATCTCATGCTAACTGCAAACTAGTGGATTCCCCATGGTTCAGACACAGCACTGTGCTAGTGGTGGTATGATTGAGAAGATGCTCCTCATAAGCCTTTACTTCTATGACAATGTTAGTAATGTTTCTCCTGTGCTCAACTAGGAAAACGGTCATTAATATGTACTGTTGGTAAACCCATACCTCTGATCGCTAGGTAGAGCTCCAAAGACACATTTACTGCTGGACTGCACGTCATAGAAAGCTGGTATTAAAAGAATCATGCAAGAAAATGCAGGTAGGAGGATAAGACTCGGTTCAAGTTTACAGTCAGCTACAGGGAAACCATTACCTCCATTCTCACGATGATCCTGTTGTTCCTAGTTGCAATGCTCATTAGGTGTTGAAATCTTAGATCTCGAGCTTGAAGACCCAATTCTTGGTACAATTCTGTTTTCTTCTTTTCTATGATAAAAATATTTTTAGATGAAGACATTTAGGGGACAGGCATATATGTTCTGAAATTACATTTTAGTGTGTTACTAAGTCCTGCAAAAGAAAAAAAAGCTGTGCTATCTTTAAAATAGTTTTCCTCCCATTGATTCCTCAATGTAATTTCTTTTTTACAAAGTTTAGAAGACTGTACCTTGAGTGGAAAGAGAAAAATCCTAGATATAAATGAAAAAGTTGGCCATGACAACTAATTTCACGTCAGAAACCAAGTGACTCGTTTGAGAAAGCACATGTAATCCTACAGGAAGGGAAATACAAGGCAGGGAAAGTAGCATGCTGGTTAAAAAGGGAAAAGACAAATTAAAAATTACCTTCCTGTGAGAGATGCTATACGTTATTTTCAAAATATTACTTAAAAATATACAAAAATTCTAACAATAAAGATGCTATGAAGACCAATAGAAGGCAGCAAAACAGAGGAAACATCGCAACATCCCAGATAAACACAGTGAAGTATCCCAAATATAATTTTCTATCCCATGTTGATTCCCAATTGGGCTTTTCTGTATTGGACAAGTAAAAAAGACAAACAAAAAACAAAGAAACAAAACTACAACGAAAACTCACCAAAATAGGTAGTGTTCCCCTCTTTGTCAAGCTTCATCTAAAGGAGTGAAAAAAAAAAAATTTTTTTCACAAAACTACTAAAAAACAAGAAATCAATTTTTAAAATTGTTTGCACTTGCCTAGAAGTCAAATAGAAAATATTTTGTTAAGAAAAAGCAACTTTTTATGCCCTCTCTTCACATTTCATCCCAATTAAGAAAAATATTGCACCAAATTGCCATATATTCCACTGTATTTGTATACACACCAAACAAAACCAGTGTCATCTGCATGACCATGTTCCTACGTAAACCTTGGGAAGGAGGTGATTGACAGAGGATCAGACTCAGAGTAGAATAGAATAGAATAGAATAAACTATTTCAGTTGGAAGGGACCCTCAATGATCATTGAGTCCAACTGCCTGACCACTTCAGGGCTGACCAAAAGTTAAAGCAAGTTATTAAGGGCATTGTCCAAACGCCTCTTCAACACTGACGGCACAGGGCTCTGACCACCTCTCTAGGAAGCCTGTTCCAGGGTTTGAGCACCCTCTCAGTACAGAAATGCTTCCTCATGTCAAGTCTAAACCTCCCCTGGCGTAGCTTTGAACCATTCCCAGGCAGCCTATCACTGGGTGCCAGAGAGAAGAGATCAGCAGGGCATCTTACATTTCGGATTACAAATTTTGCTATTTCCTCTGGAGCAACCTGAAAAATTTACAAATAAAATTTAAAAAGTAAAGAGTACCACAAATTGGGTAGTTAAGCCTTGTGCCCATGTCAAGTATTGCATTAACATGCTATTGAGCTAGTAACCTACACATAAATCCTTCTTGTCTTAGCACCCGTCATTCAGATTATTCATTTAACACTTGTACGTCCTAGTAAAATTATTTCATTGCAAAAACTGCAATGTTTGGTTTATCAGAAAGTTTGCTGTTTTGCTCGAGCCATGTAGCTTAAATCCATATTAGTGGCTTTAAAAATAACTTTCTGTGCATTAAACATACCTAAGCATACATTCCAGCAGAGCTGCAACAGGGGTTACATGGCCACAAGGACCTAGCTGCACACACCTTGTTGGAGAATGCTTTTCATTCTCAACAAGGAGGCCTTACCTTCCCTCACACGCACTAATAATGTCAATCGAGCAGTTTGCAAATGGCTTTCAGACTCATTTTAAAAAAGAATATATAGAGAGCTTGTTTTTCCCCAAATCCTACATTTGCTTAGAATTGCAGCTACCAAGGCACAGGAATATTTCTAAAAGGCATTAGCAAGCTTTGACAAGCTTAACAAGAAACCTTCTGACTGCAGCACTTCTAAGAGTTGAGCTGCCTTCACAATTAAAGCAAGAGAACTTCTAGCAGACGCTGGATCTTAGAAAAACATCTTGATGAATCCTGTATACCATAACTGGTCCCCAAGTCAGAATACCTTAAACCAACAATTTAGAACTTGGCGTGTTCTCTGAGAGACTAATCCATCTGCTTTTATGATGCTTTAATTAAAAAAAAATGAAAGAGCACCACCATCTTGCACAAGCTGCCCTCCTTGATGTAAAGGCCTGCACGTACTTACCACTGCAAAAACAGGAGACACGCTAGCCAAGGTGGCCTGGGAGGCCTCTGTCGTGGCACGTTGATAAAATTTACCTGAAGAAAGACAAGACATTTCTACTTCCAGCACACTGCACTTTGCCTTTAATTATGCGGTGCCCTGCTATAAGCCACCTACATAAGGCACTGGCACAGAAGCATCGATCATGAGAAGGCCCCTGCGAACCTGACACCCGCCCAGCAGAGCCCGGGCAGGAGCCCGACACCGCA